TGCGCGTCATCGTGCAGGAGCTGCGCAAGAATATTCGGGGAAATGGCTGCGGATGGCTGCTCTTTCGTTTCATGCTCTTCAACGCTCACTCCATGAGCAATACATAACTGCGTGATTAATGATGGAAACCATAACCCCCCATTCCTACACCCCGTATAGATGCCTACCTGCTGCCGAATCATCCTTCCCACGTTTAGGGGCCTCCCCTTCATCATACAATACAGCAGAATGGCTCTCTCTTTGTGTACTAGGCGGTAGTGCGAGGAAGGCATCAGCCGGAACCTTAGAAAATGGTACCAAATCTTCGATCACGGCTGGAGGCACTCCCTGGGAAATGTCATCGACCCTCTGGTTGCTCTCCGCCATTCAGTACCCTCAACACAAAGTTCATTGATAACTTCGTCCAACTGGTCCTCGTTTAAACTATCTGCGAAGTTGTTGAAATGATCCTCCACATCCGGCAAGTCGTAGAGGCTGGTAATTGCCTCAGCTGTGAAGGGGATCAATTGTCCTCGGACGAAGATTGTGTCGGGCTCTGCAGCATCATAGTTGGCGTAGAATTCGCGCACCAGCTGCACCGTCGCCGCAGGCGGGTTATGGCAGAACGAATGCCATTTGTGCGCGGCGATAACTGAATGGATAAAGCTGGGGTAGCCTGAGGGCCGACCCCTTCTGTACACAAAACCTCTTTCCATATGCAATGCACGCTTATTCATGCACGCGTCAAAACGATGCTCTGCCTCTGGGGATGCAAATTTTTTTACTTCAGCATTCTCTGTGGCCGGGTCCGATTCAGAACTGTCTGAATCTATTAGAATCTGCACTCCCTTTCCCTTGCGCGGCTTACTCTTGAATGGCATTTTGATGCCTGTACTCCCTTCTCTGCTCTAACTACCCTCTAAAACAAAATTTCCCACTCACTTTCCTTCCTGAAACTCCACAGGCCTAAAATCACGTTTCCTATTCTCAGCAATTCTTTGCTACAATAACACTCCCCTTATCTGTTCTACCCTCCTTAAAGAGTATGGAGTTAGGGCAGAGTTCTTACTAACCTCAATGGTGATCTCCTCTGTGCTGGCGGCTGGCTGCTCCCCCAAACTCGCGTTGTATCACGTAGCGGAGATGGATGAGATTAGCTATTTGAGAGAATGCCGCGGGTGAGAGGATGCAAGCTTGAAATCTTGGCGAGAATGGAGGAAAAAAGAAAAATGGCAAGAGTGAGAGTGTGAGTGTGGTCTTCGAAGAAGAAGTGAGAGTGTATAAATATGGGTGAATTAGGGCTTTAGAAACATGCTAAACTCATTGTCGTTTTTTTTTTTTTTTTGAATGCTGCAGCATTTTGTCATGGCATTCTGGGCTAATGTAAATTTTTTTTTCTGCTATCTGCAACGGATTGGCTCCTTTTGATCCTGCCAACCAATGAATTACACTCCCAATTAAAATATAAATACAGAATAGCAAAATAAAATAAAATCAAAGGACTAAATAATGGGTTGCCTTCCATAAGCGCTTGTTTTTGAGTCATCAGCTTGACTACCTCCCTGGTTGAGAATCAAGCCTCCTGCAGAATGGTGGACGTTTTGCAACGATCCACTGGACCTCCCCAGTAGTGCTTTAACCGCTGTCCATTTACCATGAATTTCCTCGCAGACTCCTCCTCAATCAATTCCACCGCTCCATAAAGAAATACTTTAGTGACTGCAAAAGGGCCAGACCAACGAGACTTCAGTTTGCGTGGGAAAAGCTTCAACCTGGAGTTGAACAAGAGCACTTGCTGCCCAACTTCGAATGTTCGAGGCAAGATTTTACGGTCATACCATTTCTTAGTCTTTTCTTTGTATAGCCAAGCACTTTCATAAGCCTGTAGCTTGAACTCATCAAGCTCATTCAGTTGTAACAGTCTGCTCTGCCGGGCTGCCTGCCAGTCGAGATTCAGCTTCTTTAGAGCCCAGAATGCTCTATGTTCTAGCTCCACAGGCAAGTGACACGCCTTTCCAAATACCAGCCTATATGAGGACATTCCTAAGGGTGTTTTCAAAGCTGTTCGGAAGGCCCATAATGCATCATCCAAGCGCACCGACCAATCCTTACGAGTCGGATTCACTGTTTTCTCGAGTATTCGCTTGATTTCCATATTTGACAGTTCGGCCTTCTCACTGGTTTGCGGGTGATAGGCTGTGGCGACCTTGTGCTTGACACCATATTTAGCAAGCAGCTACCCCAAGTATTTGTTATAGAAGTGGGTTCCTTCATCACTAATAATGGCTCGGGGGGTTCCAAAGCGAGTGAAAATGTGCTTCTGTAGGAATCTCAGCACCACCTTGGCATCATTCGTGGGTGAAGCCACTGCCTCTACCCATTTTGACACATAGTCAACAGCCATAAGAATGTATTGGTTACCAAATTCAACGGCCACAAGAATGTATTGGTTACCAAATGACACTGAAAAGGGGCCCATAAAATCCATACCCCAAACATCAAACAATTCCACTTCTAAGATGTTATTTAGGGGCATCTCGTTCCTCCTTGCTATGTTCCCAGTTCTTTGGCATCTGTCACATCTCAATGCAAACGCATGAGCATCCTTAAAGATCAACGGCCAATAAAAACCAGATTGCAGAATCTTTGAAGCTGTCCTCAGGCCTCCATAGTGGCCACCGTAAGGGGAAGAATGACACTCTTGCAGAATGCCCTCCATTTCTTCTTCTGGTACACACCTCTTAATAAGTTGGTCAGCACATTACTTGTACAAATAAGGCTCATCCCAGTAGTAGCTCTTGACATCATGGAGAAATTTCTTCCTCTCCTGGCTAGTCAAATCAGGCGAAAGCCATCCACTAGCTAAATAATTTACAAAATCAGCGAACCAAGGTGTATGTGCCTGAGTTGCTGCAAACAACTGCTCATCAGGGAACATTTCGGTTATACTTTCAGGGGTGACTTCTTCCTCCGCCCTCTCAAGCCGGGACAAGTGATCAGCCACTTGATTCTCAGTCCCTTTACGGTCATTGATCTCCAAGTCAAATTCTTGAAGTAAGAGTACCTATCTGATTAACCGAGGCTTTGCATCCTTCTTTTCCATCAAATACTTGATGGCTGAGTGGTCAGTAAAAACCGTGACCTTTGTCCCTATCAAATAGGCTCTAAAATTGTCAAATGCGAAGACAACCACCAATAACTCATTTTCAGTCACAGTGTAATTTAGTTGAGCTCCTGATAGATTTTTACTAGCGTAATAAATTGAGTGAAACACCCTCTCTCTTCGCTGCCCAAGAACTGTCCCCAATGTCCAGTCACTGGCATCACACATTACTTCAAAAGGAATAGACCAATAGGGTGCTGTAATTGAAAGCCATCCACTAGCTAAATAATTTACAAAATCAGCGAACCAAGGTGTATGTGCCTGAGTTGCTGCAAACAACTGCTCATCAGGGAACATTTCGGTTATACTTTCAGGGGTGACTTCTTCCTCCGCCCTCTCAAGCCGGGACAAGTGATCAGCCACTTGATTCTCAGTCCCTTTACGGTCATTGATCTCCAAGTCAAATTCTTGAAGTAAGAGTACCTATCTGATTAACCGAGGCTTTGCATCCTTCTTTTCCATCAAATACTTGATGGCTGAGTGGTCTGTAAAAACCGTGACCTTTGTCCCTATCAAATAGGCTTTAAACTTGTCAAATGCGAAGACAACCGCCAATAACTCATTTTCAGTCACAGTGTAATTTAGTTGAGCTCCTGATAGATTTTTACTGGCGTAATAAATTGAGTGAAACACCCTCTCTCTTCGCTGCCCAAGAACTGCCCCCAATGTCCAGTCATTGGCATCACACATTACTTCAAAAGGAATAGACCAATAGGGTGCTGTAATGATAGGTGCTGAAATGAGTTTCGTCTTCAATTTTGCAAATGCTAGTGAGCATGCTTCATCAAAAATAAACTTGCTATCCTTTTCCAGAAGACTACAAAAAGGCTTTGACACTTTTGAGAAGTCCTTAATGAACCTCCTATAGAACCCTACATGTCCAAGAAAGCTTCGAAGCCCTTTTACATTAGTCGGCGCTGGCAACTTCTCTATCACAGCAATCTTCGCCTTATCAACCTCTAACCCATCCCTTGAGACTCTATGTCCTAGCACAATTCCCTCATTGACCATAAAGTGGCACTTCTCCCAGTTCAAGACCAAGTTAGTCTCTTCACATCTCTTTAGGACCTTGGCCAAGTTCGTGAGGCACTCATCAAAATCCTTACCAAAGATTGAGAAATCATCCATGAAAACCTCTAAATACCGCTCCACCATATCAGTGAAAATAGCCAGCATGCATATCTGAAAAGTGGCTGGGGGCTTGCCAAGTCTGAACGGCATTCTTCTGAACTGAAGGCAAATGTGCCAAAGGGACACGTGAAAGTAGTCTTGTGTTGATCCTCCGGCACAATCACAATCTGATTATAATCAGAATCCCCATCCAATAGGCAATAAAATTCCTTACTTGCCAGCCTGTCCAACATTTGATCAATAAAGGGAAACGGAAAATGATTTTTTCTAGTTGCTTTATTGAGCCTCTTGTAATCCATGCAAATCTGCCACCCTGTTACTGTTCTTGTGGGGATTAATTCATTCTTCTCGTTCTCAACAATAGTCATCCCCCCTTTCTTAGGAACACATTGAACCGGGCTTACCCATGCACTATCCGAGATTGGATAGATGATCCCTGCATCTAACCACTTTATTAACTCCTTCTTGACCACCTCCTTCATAATCGGGTTCATCCTTCTTTGTCCCTCTATAGACCCCTTTTTATCATCTTCCAAAAGAATCTTGTGCATACAAAAGGAGGGACTTATGCCTTTTATGTCTGCCATAGTCCAGCCGATGGCTCCTTAGGATTCTCTTAAAACCTCTATTAGCCTTCCCTCTTGGTCCTGACCGGAAGTGTAGAAGAATCTCCTAAGTAGGCATACCTCAAGTGTGGTGGTAAGGGCTTAAGTTCGAGGATTGGCGGCTATTTGCTTGAGGGCTGAGTGGGCTGGTGTTCCCGTTCAGTCAAGTCCAGAGACTCAAACTTCCTTGTGTAGCTCGGCATTGTCACATGTGCTCCCACCCACTCTACTTGCTCAACGCCTCCTTCCACATTACTCTCGAAGTTATCATGCTCAAGTGTTTCTGCCACCCGAGCGTCAATAACTGAGATGGCTGAGCACTCCTCCATTTCACTCGGGAACCTCATTGCCTTGAACACATTAAATGTGACCTGTTCGTCTTGCACCCTCATGGTCAATTCTCCTTTCTGAACATCAATCAAGGTGCAGCCAGTTGCAAGAAAGGGCCTCCCCAAAATTATGGGCACTTCTATGTCTGCTTCATAATCAAGAATAATAAAGTCGGCAGGAAAAATGAACTTGTCCACCCTTACCAGTACATCCTCGATCTTTCCTTTAGGGGTTGCAATTGACCTGTCCGCCAGCTGCAAAGATATTGTGGTCGGCCTTACTTCTCCAATTCCCAACCTCTTGAATATTGACATCGGCATCAAGTTTATGCTCGCTCCCAAATCACACAATGCTCTACCAAAGTATTGGTTTCCAATAGAGCATGGAATAGTAAAACTTCCTGGATCCTTTAACTTGGGCAGGAGTTTGTTCTGCAGAATAACACTGCATTCTTCAGTCAGAGCCACTATTTTAAACTCCCCGAGCCTGCGCTTCTTGGTCACTAGATCCTTCATGAACTTAGCATAGCTTGGCATCTGTTCCAAGGCTTCCACCAGGGGTATGTTGATGTGTAGCTGTTTCAAAACATCTAAAAACTTGCGAAACTGCCTATCTTGTTGCTGTTTCTGGAAACGATGTGGGAATGGCAGAGGTGGTCAGCTGCCACTAGGGGTGCTGGGCTCCGCAAAAAAAAAGAATGCTGCGGAAATGCTGCAGCATTCTGCACATCAGAGTCTAGTTGCTTACTCCTGAGCTGTTCTTCTTGTGGCATTGTTTTCTTCTCTCCCCCTTAGATTGAAGTGGGCTCTGTGTGAGCAGCCATAGGTTTTGCTTTAGATTCCAACTCCTTTCCACACCTTAGTGTGATAGCTTTGCAGTGTTCTTTCTCGTCTTTTCGTGGATCTTCGGTATTGCTTGGGAGAGAACCTTGGGGCATGTTGTTCAGAGAGTTTACGATCTGTCCAACCTGATTTTCTAAATTCCGCAGTGCTGCATCATGGCTCTGGATTTTGGCTTCACTCCTTGAAATAAACTCTTTTAACAAGCTCTCCAAAGAGCTAGATTGTTCCACGGCTTGAGTTCTTTGTTGTTGCGGTGGATATCCAGGTGGTTTTTGTGGTAGGCATTGGGTTGACTGGTACTTGCTCCCAGATTGCTCCATGATAAGTTTGGATGTTGCCTCATCCCTTGGTTATGAGGATTTGAATAGTGATGATTACCCGTGTTGAAATTAGCAACATAACATGCATAGGCGGGGTTGGATGGGCAATCTTCATATTGGTGGCTATCTCCACAGTAAACACACGAAAAACCAGCAGTTTGCACTGCATTTACCCCTGCCGGATTGTTCAACGCCTTTACCATATTCGTCAAAGATGACATTTGCGCTGAGAGAGCAGTGATGGCGTCAACCTCGTGAATTCCAGTGGCCTTCCTTGCATTATGCCTCTCGGTTGGCCATTGATAGTTATTGTTTGCCATCCTCTCCAAAATCTCATATGTGTCATTATAAGATTTGGCCAAAATGGCTCCACCTGCTACGGCATCCACTATAGTGCGTGTTTGCCCATTGAGACCATTATAGAATGTTTCCATTTGAATCCAGTGGGGGATCCCATGATGAGGGCACTTCCGTAGTAGTTCCTTAAATCTATCCCATGCTTCATACAATGACTCCCTATCTGCTTGTTGGAACGAGGTTATGTCATTCCTTAACTTGGCATTCTTGGTTGGAGGGAAGTATTTCATGAGAAA